GCTTTAGTCACACCACTTGCCCACTTGCCTGCACCACTTGACCACTTGCCAACCTTCTAGAAGGACTGCAGCTAGCCTTCTAATCTACAGGTCTACGGATTGAATCCTGGCTACCTATAGACCTACGACAGACCTACCTACCACTGGCGGTTCTACAGGTCGCAGGTTCAACTCTTCGAGTTGACGCAGGTATTGTACACAGGTAAGTTGGGGAACTAGGGATCGAGCCCTGGGATCTACCTCAGCTACCACGAATTGGTGAATACCGTTTCACATGGATGGAACAAAAAATAATAATAATTATTGAGAAATGAGAAGAAACAACTCCCAACTGTTACAGCTGTTGCCCTTTTAAAAAAAAAAAAAAAAAAAAGAGAAAAAAAGAAAGAGGCAAGCAGGAAAAAGTGTTTCTTATTAGTTTCATGGCCCTTAGGGCCTCGTTAGACCCTCCTTGGAAATCCGATTTTTAGGAAATCCACGTCCTTACACGGCGTCCTAAATTACCAAATTCCTTGGACAATGTGAAAACGCTACTGAGATATTTCCTTGGGTTCCTCAGAATCGCTAGCTAAAATGTCCTTGGATTCAAGGGGTCCTCGCAAGGTTCCTTGGGCTCAAGGAGCCGCGATTGATGGATCGTCGTGGAGCATGTGTCGACACCAAAATTTGGAGTTTTTCGTGGTGCACAGGTCGTCTGTGGTCCAAACGGGCGGACACCGCCGGCCTCCAGTAGGGGACGAGCCTCCAACGGTGTTGTGTCATTACCATTGGCGCGTAAAGGCGTGGGGGTGGTTCTTCAGCTCCGAGGCGGTTCATGTGGCGGGCTTCTCCTTGTGCGTGTCGTCGGGCGTGGTGTCCAATGGTTAACTTTTTTCTTTTTTTTACCGCCAACGTGTGAGCAGTGCTGGTCGACTGCAGTTCTCCTTGGCAACGTGCATCATCGGGCATTGACAGGCGCACGGGAGCAAGCTTTGGTCGATGCACTCGCCTGCTGCGATTCATGGCAGACGCGCTCCGGCGGGTTCCGCTCCTGCTGCTGGCCACTCTTTTCCCGCTACTTGTGGTCTTGTTGCACGTGTGTGTCGTTGTGCGGAGTCCGAGGAGCAGACGAGGAAGGCGGTGATGGAAAGGCGGGAAACCTCCAGCGGACTGCACAGACGTGAGATCGACTTCTCCACTCCAAACCCGGCGGTAGCGGTGCGTCGTGCACCCGCGTATGACCCCAAGTTGTACAATCATCTGCCACCACACGAGCAATCATTACCGCCGGATCCGGAAGAGGAGTGGCTGGAGGATCTGTCCCACACTTTGCCACTGGGGAGCGGATCTACGTAGGAATGGATGGGCAGCCATTGCCGACAAAGGGAGGCATAGAGAAGTCGCCACTCGTTCTCGGCAATGCTGGAGAAGGGCATCGATGGAGGCGACACAAATATTGTGGACCTGGATTTCGGCTTGTCAAGCGGGACTGCTGCACCGGTTACGAACAGTTGTGCATCAAGCCACGTCGCCGCCACGACCATCGGACAAACGTCTCTGCATGGGGCGGGAGTGGCGGGGTGTGGCGAAAGGTCGTGTCCAGTGGATGGCAGCGCAGATGGGTGTCGTCCGGCCCCCTCCTCTCGAGGTGCGGGAACATCTGGCGACAAGGCGACAACAGTGTTAACCCCCCACCACGCCGGAGGGTGGCCGCACCGGCGACGAACACGACCACTACCCCGCCGGAAGAAATTGGCAGGCACGTGTGGGAGTCTTGTCACTAACAGATGCGGGGACCAACTGCTGAGAACATAACGAACAGGATGTCGAGCATGCGTGTTGGTAGCGATGCGGATGGGGACAACACCCTGAGGGCGACTGGTGACGAATCTTCAGGTTTTCATTGCGAGGACGAAGCGGACGATGAGGAAGAGTTGGAGATTCGACCCCTGGGTGTGCGTGGTAGAGGGAGGGGTGGATGCGAGTGTCAACAAAATCGGGGATCCCGTCGTGGTCGAATATCGAAGGCACCTGCAGGCGACAAGGGTGGTAAACATCCGACTTGGAGTGTTGAGGAGATGCTGAAGCTCGCTCAGGTGAAGCGGGATCAGCAAGCTCATTTCGATGGCATGCCGCACAACTACGGCCCCATACGCAATAGGGAATGGAAGTTGCAGGACCTGCAGAAGCGTTTGGTGGAGGTGGGCGTGAAGAGGACGACCGATGACATCGAAAGAAGTGGGATAACCTCTTCTAGCAGTATAAGAAGGTGCAACGATACCAGAACGCCTCCTGGGGGAAGAACTTCTTCAACTTAACGCCTGCATTGAGAACGAAAGAGGGCTTCAACTTCCGAATGGATGAGCGAATGTACCTTGACAACCTCGCCGACACGAGTGCCCGTGGAGAAGTGCAGATGTCGGGGGACACGCAACGTCCATCATCGGTCGAGGGAGAATCTGTCGCAGGAGGAGACGCGGGTGATGGCAATGATGAAGATGGAGGGTCGGCGAGGGAGTCCGGGTTCAGTGCACGCAGCACGGGCAACGCTGGCAAGAGGAAGAACATGCGCCAGCGGACGTTCGACATCATCGCCGAAGTCATGGAGAAGCACGGTGCATTGATGGCGGACACTGTGGAGAAGGAAAGCAACCGGCAGTGTTCCATCCTGGAGTGGCAGTGCGACATACTCGAGCATGAGGTCGACGCCCAGAAGCGGCACTACGAGGCGTTCGACGAGGCGAACAAGATGATGTGCAGTGCGTTGATGGAGATCGCGAAAGCCATCAGGGACATGTCTTGATGCCGCCTCAGCTCTGTGGTCGGTCGTCATGTCGATGCATGCGTTGACGTTGCATCCCTCGCTTGTTTTCCGTCGGTGCCGCAGTGACAACGCTGAGTTGGCATGTCTTCCTTCAAGGGGGGTGGTTCATGGTATAGGTGACGGTTGGATCGCTCACGTATATATATATATATATATATATATATATATATATATATATATATATATATATACTGTTTGTGACGATATATATACACACTTTTTTTTTTCGGGTTTTCATAAGTAGGAAGTTCAAGCCATCACGCCGGGAGCGCGCCGCGGCAGCGGAAGGTCTATCCAAGCAGTATAAGGGTCAATGCAGGTCTTCTGCTGCGCATCTACTACGCTTCGTAGGCGTCAATTCCTTGTTTCGCTTGACGACTGTCTTCCACGACGCCAAGAGTTCATCGTCTGCGCTATCGCTATACACCTGCGCTATCCTCACGGGTGCATTCGTCGGTGGCATAGTACGTGGACGCTTCACGATCTATTTGCCCGCCATCGCCCACGGCACGTGGCAGACTCACTTCGCCTTTAGTTGTGGGATGGGAGAAATCGATCATTAGCGCATGGCGCCACGTGGACAGTTGCAGTTGAAAAGGCGAGACGGCGGATCCGGCGAAGGTGGGGGCGGGCAAAGCGGAAGGGGGCACGTCCCGAAGTAGAAAAGGCCGTGTGGTGACGGATCGGAGGGTGTGATGGGGGTCCAGGGGGGAGAAGATGTCTCAGTCGTGGAGATCGCCGACGCTTGGATTTGGAAGAGATAGCGTAAGCAGGGAGCATTTTGAAGCACTAGTTGCCCTTGGTGCGCCAAGAATTGGTCATGGTGGTGGAAGTGGAAGCGTGCGTTCTCAAGGGATCGTCATTAGTGAGTTGGCACCACAAACACTTGTGACTTCAACGGCGATGATCGTGTCCGCTGTTGAACGTGGGGACAAAGGACCCGTCCATGTGCCACAAGAGCGCCACGTGGAGCCGTCGAACATGAACACGGTTGGCGGGTGGTCGAGGGAAGTTGTCTTGTTGTCGCATGCAGGAAGCGGTGCTGTCCATGGGCCGAGCACCGCTGCGGGGGAAAGGTGAGAAGAACGGGGGCCAGTGAGGCGGGAAAGAAAGACGAGAGGAGGGATGGCACTCCGCGACCAGACGACGAGGACGATGAGTCTCTTCGCATGAGGAAGAAAAAAACGCGGAAGGAGGAGGAGTTGGAGGCGAAGTCTAAGTTGTGGACAGACGGGAAGACATTCTGGGGAAGTGGCCCTGGTCACCTGATAGCAGACGCTGTGCACGATTGCGCTGATTACTAGTGCGCAATCGTCAATGGTGATGCAGGCGCCACCGCACCACGTGGCCTCATCATGCCACCCCCAGATGTTCCACGTTTGCGAATCCACGATCCTGCGCCGCAGGATGCAACCCTTGGACGAGCGAGAAGGATGGAGAACGTCGCTATGCGAGTCATCCACCGGTGGATCTTCAGGTTGTCTTCAAGATCCGACGGTTTCGCCCGCGATGAGTCGTATGTCGCCGTTGATTACACGACCAATCTGGCGAGAGCAGTTTGGCAGAGCGTGGAGTGGTCGAGGGTAGTGTCGCCTAGTGTTGTTTACCACACGCTCGCTCTAAGGATCGACATTCCATTGTGGTATGTGGGGGCCTACATCGAGGACAGGCTTGAGGACGATGACATGGCTGCCCATCAAGAGTCCACAATTTTGCGTTTGGCTTCCAGCTTTCACGATGCGCTCCGAGGCAGCCAATGGTCCGACAACGGAAAGATGTCCCTGTCAAGGTTGAGCAGATTCGGGAATGCCTTCCGCCTGCTTCTCGCCACGTGCATGTGGATCATGTGCATGGGAGGCGATGACGTGCGCTCCCACGAGGAGGCGTTGTACTACTCGCAACTCGAGGTGAAGCCTATGCTCATGGCGGCAGGGTCGCAGCCCTTCAGCTGACGCCGACATATACTCCAGTCCGCAAATGCGATTTTGACTCGCCTCGGGAAGCCGCCCTTGACGATGGGTGCGTATCCCAACTACATCTCGGAGTGGGCTTCGTGTGGAGTGCGGTTGAAGTACCACGCTGGTTTGGCGGACCTCGACCTCGTGGGGAGGATGGATTGGATGGGGACGGGACGTTTCGATGGCGATCGGAAGGAGGACGGAGGCGGCGACGAAGAAGGGTCGTGAAAGTGGTGGAGGTGCCAGTCCTGAGGACAGGCCTGAGAACGATGATATGGCTGCCCATCAAGAGTCCACAATTTTGCGATTGGCTTCCAGCTTTCACCATGCGCTCCGAGGCGGCCAATTGTCCGACAACGGAAAGATGTCCCAGTCAAGGTTGAGCAGATTCGGGGATGCCTTCCGCCTGCTTCTCACCGCGTGCATGTGGATCATGTGCATGGGAGGCGATGACGTGCGCTCCCACAAGGAGGCGTCATACTACTCGCAGCTCATGGTGAAGCCTATGCTCATGGCGGCAGAGTCGCAGTCCTTCAGCTAACGCCGATATATACTCCAGTCCGCAAATGCAATTTTGACTCGCCTCGGGAAGCCGCCCTTAACGATGGGTGCGTATCCCAATTTCATCTCGGAGTGGGCTTCGTGTGGAGTGCGGTTCAACTACCACGCTGGTTTGTTTACCACGCTGGTTTGTCGGACCCCGGCGTCGCGGCGAGGATGGATTAGATGGGCACGGGACCTCACCTCTGTGGTCGGTCGTCATGTCGATGCATGCGTTGACGTTGCATCCCTCGGTTGTTTTCTGTCGGTGCCGCAGTGACAACGCTGAGTCGGCATGTCTTCCTTCAAGGGGGGTGGTTCATGGCATAGGCGACGGTTGGATCGCTCACGTAGTCAAACGGTTTATATATATATATATTGTTTGTGACGATATATATATATATATATATATATATTGTCACAGAACTATTGACTAAGAGCATGAGCATGTGAAGTAGAAGAAGAAATAAGATGAGCAAAGAAAAGAAAAATGAAAGGAAAGACAGGCAAAGAGACAGACAAACCAGAATGACACTTTGTTTCACAGTATTATTATTTCTTTCAGTCTTTTACAAAAATTATTTACACTGAATCAAAGGATCAAAAACAAAGACACATTGAAATCATTCAGTTTCTCAGTCTTCTTAACGCCTCCTCCACTGTGCCTCTAACGTACAAGGCTCGCCACGTTGATGAAGTTGAGCGCGAGCTGCCCCCATCCCCGCGTTGACTCAGCGTTGACCAAGGCGTTGACCGGAGCTGCTGACCAAGATTTTGACCAAGCTGGAATTGGTGATATCTCGCTGAACCCTTAGCCTATCCCCTTACCCTGTGGATGTGCACTTACCCCATGGTACTTGCTGAGTTGTTTGTCTACTCTTTCTGCATTGAGTCTCTTCTGTCTTAGGTGCTAGGACTCTGTGGATGAAGGATAGGGCCTTGCTGCCAAACCTGCACGGGCTTGGTAGGACCAAAGCTCTACTCTGACACTTGGAGACCTGGGCATGAGCGGCGAGCGCTCGTTGAACAACTCGTCTAGCCCAATGACCAGTACTGTCCGGCAGGTCTACTGAGTTCAGTGTGGAGGGTCTGAACTCCAAGCTGTAGGCTGAAACGAAGGTCGTCTTTAAGTGTCAAGGCCTGGTTGAGCCACTCCCCTACCGGACCCAGAAGGCTGATGATCCGTGTCTGACGACTCGACTGTCCCGAGGGATACGAACCCCTCCAAGGACCGGTACTGACCGGCGGGCTGCTCGGTGTGGCACAGGAGGCTGGACGGGCTGAGTTGTGGGCTGAAATCGCCAGAGGAACCAAGCTGATCGCGTCGTCCTGTCTGCGACGTTAAAGAATTCTTGCGAAGTTTGGGGGATCTTCTTAAATACCTCCTAATCAGCTCTTGGTTYTGTAGTGACAGCCTTAGAGTAGTCTTGGGTTAGTTGTGATCATCATTGACATGGTCTTATCCTGTGGTCCTTAGGGAGTCAGTCAGTAGGTTAGAGTGTCCGGGTAGGTCTACGTGGTGAGTGGGACCTTTGTCGTGCACCAACACCACGATGGATGACTATCCGATGTAGGGGGTACTTGTTGGGTTCTCCCTCTGGGGGACCCTTTGGCGTCTCCTCTTTCCTCTGGGCTTTTGGCCCACTTTCACGTGTAGAGTAGGGCCCACTCGTGGTGGGACTTCCACCAACCCCTACACGAAGGAGGAGGAGGAGAAGATGGCCGCCATTCTGCAGGAGAAGAAGGAGAAG